AAATGGCATAACTTTTGTGTAAAACTCAATGAATGATAAAAGTTTTGATAATTTATTACAAATTCATTATTTTATGTAAATATTATTTATTATACAAAATATTTTATAATAAAATCATATTCATTATATATATATTAATATGAATTCAATTGTGTATCAGTTGAACCAAGTTTAGTTTTAAAATATTCTTGAAAAAACAGGCCATCAGTTGATTGCTGTGTATTTGCCGATGAAATAAAGTTGTCCATCAAATCGCTTTCAATATAACTCTTATGAATAGACCATAAGTTATATTCGGATAAAACTTGTGAGCAATCGGGTCTGTCTTTCCAGTGAGGGCCGGGTTTGTGCGGGTGATCCCAGTTATAGTATGACATGGATTGCAGTAAGTCTTGTAATTTAACCACACGTTTACGTATAACCTCGTTATTAGTGCTGTCCATTTAATATAATAATTACACATATGAGCAATACTATTAACTAGCATATATTTATATTTAATAGTAATTTATTTTATAGTTTTTATAAACTATTGACTCGACTTACAGTTTGTCATTGAAATTCAAACCAAAGATTTTTTCACCGATTTTGGACAGACTATAGATGTCTACCCTGTGGTCATATTTTTCATTAAAAACCACTTCTGGCGCCTGATATCCAGTATCCCCGACATCTCCCGTATGCTTATTATTAGTCATTGAATGGATATTCCGGTCGTGTACTGTCGCCAAACCAAAGTCACCCAGTTTAAAATACCTGCCATTTCTGACATTTAGTGCCACTAATATATTGTCGGGTTTGAGGTCCCGGTGAATGACCGGTGGATCCAATTCATGCAAATACTGGACGCACTCTAAGAGCTCTTTGAATATATGACACGAAATGTAAAACTCGATTGAATTCATGAGTTCTTTAGGTTTTCGGTGAAATACTTGTGGTTTGTGTTCAAGAATTTTCGTAAGACTATCGGAACACAACTCCATTATTATGTAATAATAATTTTCATGACCAATGGTTGCGCTGATATATTGGACCACATATTTTGAGTCCAAATTCTTTAAGCAATCCATTTCTGCTACAAACTGATCCAATTGCCGACAATTAATATTCTGCTTATCAACTATAAAGTTATAATTAACATTATTTGTAAATTTCTTGAAAAGTCATTTTCCACAAATTATACATTACTTGGTAACTTAATTTGTTTGACTGCATATTCTTGCTCATTGGTTATATCTCTAGCCTTATACACACAACCAAAACCACCCTCACCCATTTTAGACAATATTTCCAAATTGTATTGATTAACGAAACTTGTCATGTCATCAATAGCTAAATAAATAATTTATTAATAAAAAAGTTTATAACAGCTAGTCATTTTAAATATATCAATACTAGTATATGATACCTCTTTCTGTCATTTTGAAAATATTTTTCCATTTTGTTAAAATCGTCTCAATTAGACCAGTGTTTGGTTGATTTAAGTGATCCTGTTTAATTCTGTCAACCATTTTTCCCAAAAATTCAATACATTTTGTACGAAAGTCTTCACTTGTATTGCAATTATATTCCTTATAATCGCTTAAATGAATGGTTTTATGAGTCAATTGGTGTTCGTCTGTATAGTAATCAAAGAAATTCTCGTAATTTGTTTCAATCAAAGTCTTTCCCGATATTTCATAAATCTTTGCATTCATTAAAGCGGTTATATATTCTGAATGCTGTTCTTTAAACCATTTTAAATTCTGACACAATTCTTGACATTTTGTATCATCAATTAAACATGGTGATATTTGTATTAACTTATCTCCACTTTCATTGACATACTGTCCGCAAAAATATATGAATCCATCTTTTGATAGGAAATATGTGTTCACTTCTGTCGCGCATATAGTCTTAATATCATTGATATTATCAACAAATTGTGGTTTTAACACATTTTTCCATGAATTTAAGTCTTGATTTTTCCCCCATTTAAACACATGTCCGTCACATGTGATGGCAAATGAACAGAATTTGTGACAAAAAAGTTTTTCTATTTTATAGTCAACCGAGTTGTGTATGAAATGTAACTTTTGCCGCTTGTATACGAGGACCGATTGATTATCGCTGCCAACCTGTCCATATCTATTATCACCCCAACCATAGACATCGCCATCGGTTGTAAGGATTAAGAGGTGATACGAACCGCAACTGATTTGACAGATATTGTGGCGATTGAGTGCCAAATCGTTTTCCGGGTTCACGTACTCCACTGACAACATATTCATTGGTTTACGACATTTAATTAAATTAAATGAATTCTTGGCAATCATATGGTACCAGAAATATATACAATCGCTATCATTGAAAGCGAGCCCATACTGATCCTTACAGAATAATTGATGTATATTCTGGTGACACAACTCTGGGATCAATTGTGGTTCGCTTACGTAGTTATTGTGTCCCAACCCGAGTGGTCCCCAATAATTAGATCCCAAACCGTAGACCTTATCATCATTTGTCACGAATAGGACATTATAGCCTCTCTTGTCGTTGAAGACGTGAAATAATTTAACGGTTTTTATGATATTTTTACTACTGAATGTTTGTCCCGTTGTCCCCAACCTAGTGCTTCCACTTGACATCCGTAAAAAAAACCGTATGACATCCAGTGTCTTACATACAGAGATGTAATTATTACGTGAGAATCACTTATATTTCGGTATATTTTATACGAAAGAGTCTCTAAACCACGGCTTAAATATGACTACAATATATAGTACTACTGATTCATATTACAACAGTCATATGAAAGCAAAGTTCTGTGTACTCTTTCGTATATCTAAGTATAACTAACAATGGGGTGTCACTCGCTGTCCAACTCTTATTTAATTCAAACCTACATGATTATATGTGTTAAGCATGTTAAATTATGAATATCGGGGTCCGATAATCTATGGGAAGGTGGTATGGTCATAATCCAGTGGTCAAGTTTCCGATAATCGCATAATATTCAAAGTTTTTATATGCATTATTCACTTTTTTACATTACTCATACTAAGCATGAATTCAGATCAAATGTCTATTGAGTTGTATAGAACTTTATACGAATATCGGAAACTTGACCACTGGATTATGACCATACCACCTTCCCATAGATTATCGGACCCAGATATTCTTAATTGAACATGCTTAACTTATATAATCATGTAGATTTTAATTAAATAAGAGTTGGACAGCGGTGACACCCCATAGTAAGTACTGATGATTTTTAGTTATAAGTTTGATTATCGGACCCAGATATTCTTAATTGAACATGCTTAACTTATATAATCATGTAGATTTTAATTAAATAAGAGTTGGACAGCGGTGACACCCCATAGTAAGTACTGATGATTTTTAGTTATAAGTTATAACTTATAACCCCTTAATACAGATTTAAATAAACAAAATCAAATTCTTTGCTAATTATGGGTTATTATAGTGAATAAAATGAATGAATACTCGTTGTGTCTTACATAATGCGACCATCTCTGCCTCCATATGCTTTGCGATCGCTTTCGGTTCATATTATCCAAAAAAATTTATAAAAACTGTATAATATATATAAATGGTTAAATCAATTATTATACATTTCGAGTCACCCTATGTTTGCAATAAAAATAATTCAACATATTTTTCAGTAATAACACAAAATATTTAAATGTGTAATAATTTAACCGTTAATTGTCTAGACTCTAGACATAATAAAGGTTTATCATACTACTTATATTAAATCCATTTGATTCTATTTTGCTTTCTATTTATTGTATAGATTTTGAAATACAATGATTACTGTTATTTCACTTGTTGTTGTGTATAGAAATTTGTATGCAGATTATCACTGGTGATTTACGTGAAATTGCATATCTAGATAATATTATTTGCTAAAATACCCACGCTTTTATTTTATTAATATAATAGTTTTACATTACAATAACTATAACAAGAGATACGATAAATAATTATTGCTGAAATATATATTTAATAATAATATATAATTAACTTAAGACAAAAATATTTTGTTAAATAAAAATTATTAATTAACAATACGTATATTTAATATATAAATGTTCTGTTAATGTTTTAATAATTAATTAAATTGGACTAAAAGTACTCGAGATTTAAATCTAATAAAACTAATTAAGATGACCACATGGTCTACAGAGAAATTTTATATCATTTTTAATTAGCTAAACGTTATTTTAAACATTTAATCTAGGTCTGAATCATCAATGAGACCATATTTAAAGCGAAAATAGTTTATGAAAAACTGACATTCGTTTGATTCAATTGTATTTAAATGTTTCAAATCTTTTGCCAAATATTTGCTATCAATAGCCCACTCGTGGTATGTCTTCAACACATCCTTACACTC